TCCAAGCCTGGCTAATATTTGCTTCAGTGTTATGCGAAATATTCTCCTTCTAGTACACCTTCCCAAAGGGTCAAAAAATATCAATGTGCGGTAAACAGAATATAAAAAAATAAAATTTGGTCATAATTGACCATTTTCGGCGATACTGCTCTTCGAGCACTCCCGCTCGTGAGCAAGTTTTTCTAGCGAGTAAAAACGACCAAATATGAGCTCTGGAATAAACATAAATTGAAACATTTGATCTCGTGTTTTTGTTTGCCTTTTTCAAATCGGCGTATATTGTGTGAGTGAACCATTGGGTTGACTCATCCGTACATAGTATTATTTATATAAAACTTAATTTCGGATTGGTTTCCTTAGACCTTCAATCTCTCTGGGTAATACCCAAAAATGGTTTCGAGATGCCTTTGTGGCTGTTCAACCCTGGATTTTCAGTAACATATATATGTATCAATGTCAAATTCTATGTATTTCTTCACATAAGGTTCCACTGTTGCCTAGCACACTCTAACTTTGGCAGGACTGAAAGCGACACAGCGAAAGAAAAACATGAGCATACAACAAAAAGCTATGCATGGGTTTTTATTCACTCTTCCAATATGTTCAGCCATTCATCCATCCATCAATTGTTATGGATGGCACTGCTCCTGGCCAACGATGAATTGTCCGAAAAAAATATTGAATTCTCATTGTTGGTAAATAAATTGAAAAACTACTAAGCAATTCTGAATATCCCCGTCGCAAACAGTTGCCATGGATTTGTTTGAGTCGGACAGGAATTACCCGGGTCGGTCACACATGGTTTTTGCAACAGACAAACACACTTACATACAAATGACAGGACGTGTAATAAATTCAAAAGTCTTGGTATTCACTTGCTAAGCGATCATCATCGTCATCATCGTCAATGGCCAGAGTGATGAAAAGAAGTTCAGCAAAGATGACATGGCTGATGTGTGTCACAACAATGAAATGGAAATGTATGAGAATAAGGGGTAATGTAACCAGGGGTTACCTGGTTTCGGATGGTTGCATCATAATACTTGACATTTGACTTTGATGCATTTTAATGTGATGGCCTGGTTTTCCGTTTGCCTCCTTCTTTCCTTCCTTCCGTTCTTTGCTTCTTGCAAACCAATAAATATTTTACACAATGTAATTGTCCATATGTAGGGGTGGGGGTACGGTCTGCCATCCTGTTTTCATTCCTACCATTTTATTTTCGAGTGTGTGCAAAACCCTTTCTGAAATTCCTTGAATGAATTCCAGCAATAGTCAATAAATAAAAATTAATTCTTAACTAATATATTTGCGAATCCATTCACATTCATTTGAACTCCATTCGCCAGCAGGAGTCGTCTCTGCAGCCACATCCACATCCGTGCCAGCCTGCCTGCCTTCCCTCCAGCTTTTGTTGCACTACCTGGCGTTTGTTTAATTCATGAGTTTGCGTGAAAAGCTCAACACAGTTTATGAAAAACGATCCGTGAGTCTACATTTGGTTCGATCGGCATTCAGCTGCTGGTCATCTTGGCTTAGTTTTGTTTTTGCTGTTGTTATTATTGGTGTTTTTTCCTCTGTTTTCTCCTTAAACGATGATCATCAATGTTTCTGTGTTTCGAGCGTAAAATGTGCCTCCATCTGTGTCTCTTGCGTGAGATAAAAAATGAAGGTGTCCAACATGGCAGAAACCACCACCAGCGCCGCGGATAGCGCCCAAGCAACTTATGAAGATAAATGTTAGCCGGATTGAAAATCAAAGTACAGGAAAAATTAAGAACTAATGACAACTTATGTTGTTGGTCAATCGACGAAATGACGATGGTTGGTAAGGGAATTGTGGAAAAATCGCATATTTTCTTCCGGACTATAGAAATTAAATATTTCTGTTAATTAAAAAATGGGATTGTAAGGTAATTTTTATGGAGCAGTTACTTTATTTAAATCAGCAAACAACAACGACTTCTGCATAGAACTCTCTACATTCCATCTGTTAATGTCCGTCACCATTTCCATGTTTATTCCTACATTTTGTATGTATCATTCTAAGCTTTATAATTGTCATTTTGACGTCAATATCATTTACACTCACTCGTATTTATAGTAACTGTCCCCTTTGTTGTTTACCTGCATGGGTTTGTTTGTATGAGTATGTATGCTCATTGACGAATTGGCGTGGTTGCCATTTCGTTGAAAATTTTTTGAATATTCCCGATTGAAATTCTCGAAAAACCCATGCATAGGTGAGGAGCTATAAATACGAGTGAGTAGGAAGTAAATATCCACCTTAAAATTTTTAGTACTTTATAAAAACAGACACCAACAGTGACATCCATAGCAAAATTCAGGATTTCTGCTCTATTTCTTATCCCAATACCAAATACTGCACCATTTAGTACGTTCCGTACAAATATAGTACACATTTCCATAACTACCTCCATATTTAAACCGCTGACACCAGCAGCGTGTACATTAATTTTCAGGATTTCAGCAAATACCAAATTGAGTACTATTTAGTACGTTTCGCACAATTATAGTACACATTTCCGAAACGACCTCCATATTTTAAGCACAGACACCAAAAGTGACATATATATCAAGTTTGAGGATTACAGCACTATTCCTTCATGCAGCACCAAATATAGTACCATTTAGTACGTTCCGTACAATTATAGTACGTACAAAACCACCAACATATTTAACGACCAGTGACGTCTATATCAAATTTCAGGATTTTAGCTCTAGTTCTTCACCCAATACGAAATATCGTGCTATTTAGTACGTTTCGTACAATTATAGTACACTTTTCTGAAACCACCTCCATATGTCCAGGCTACAACCCAATACCAAATTTTAGATTTCAAGCTCTATCTGTTCAGTCAAATACCAAATTGTACCAAATATGGTACTATTTAGTACTTTTCATGCACTTGTAGAACACTTTTCCAAAATCTTTTTTTTTATTACAAACCTATCACCAACAAAATTTAAAAATTCACTCTTCATCTATTCACCCTAAACCAAACTGTTCCAAATTTAGTACCATTTGGTACAGTTCGCACATTTAGTACACATTTTCCAAAACCACCTTTATATATCAAACTCACTTTCCAACCTTGATTCTCATACCAAATTTCAAGTCGTTAGCTCTATTCATTCACATAATAGCAAATGGTACCATTTTAGAAATTTAGTACCATTTTAGAACTTTTCGTTACCTAATAGTTCAAATTTCCAAAAAATTGGTACATTTATCCTGCACTCAATCAATGATTCTCATTTCAAGTTTCAGAATTCTTGCTCATTCCGTTTGTCCAATACAAGGTATTAAATTTTAAGGATACTTTCGTATCGTTTTAATACGAATTTCTAAATACAATACCTGCGTATGATGAAGATGTATATCGAAGCTATATAAAAACCTGAACTCATCTCTATAAAATTTGGCACAGATATTTTCGAGCAGCAATATACTCCGAATATCATATATCATTGTTGTGGAATGCGTATTTCGCATGTAAGGGAATTTAACACCAAATCGGATGAAACATATATATGGGAGCTATAGCTATATCTGAACCGATTTTCGCCAAAAATTGAAGTACTTGCTTCTAGGCTGAATGCCGTCTGATGTGCCAAAATTCAATCCATTTGGGCTGATATTAGAGATTTGGTGCACAAAAAACCTGAAATCGTATAAAGATATATATGGGAGTGATATCCAAATCTGAACGGATCCTGACAAAATTTTAAACACTTATTTCCGAGCTATATCTGATACCAAAGATTATTGTTGTGGAGGGCATATTACGCTTTTAAAAACAAATCGGATTAAACTTATATATGGGAACTATAGCTATATCTGAACCGATTTTCTCCAAATTTCAATTAATTGCCAAGATTCAGTCCATTTGGCCTGATATTAGCCATTTGGTGCACAATAAACCTGATATCGGATAAAGATATATATGTGTGGTGAAGGGTATACAAATCCTGCTAAGCGAAGCCTGGTCTCTATTTGGGTTTAGAGTACCATATCGCGATAATTTAACCAAAATAAAGTCAACTTCAAAAATGATTGTTGGGACTCACTCATGTTGGTACCTCCACCACGAATGGTATACATTTTTAAAATCGTTTTTATACCCTCCACCTTGGAAAGGAGGGTATATTAACATTGTCATTCCGTTTGTAACATCCCTAAATATTCGTATAGGTCCACGTTTTGGTATAGCTTCCATATAACGGTACCTCCGATATTCGGTATTTTGATGATTTTTGCCACATTTTTTTCACGGATTAGTCTAAAAATTGATATTTGTGGGTCATAATGGGTTCTTATGATACCTTTACCCTATTTGTTGCAGATCCTAGAGAGGTTCTCTTATTTAGACAAACTTTAGTACATCGTCAGGTGAATATTAAGACTAGGTTACTTCTTCTGATACCTTTGCCACAAAACGGCGCCTCCTTTCTCCCCAAAAAATTGTTCCAGCATTATCAGACCCCACCTCGTGCTGTCACAACAATGACTACTGTTGTCGCCCGGTAATCACCCGGTATGATTACGAGACATTATATCTGACAATCTTGTTTACAGTTGTCATTAATTATGCATCCTCGCGGCCCAGGCAGTGAGGAACAAACTAATGTGGAGTGTTCTACAACGGCTTCGACATCAATAACGGCAATGGGAAACGGCAGCAGCCAAAGCAAAGCTAAGGAGAAAAAGCAGAAGACGCAGAACCCAACTGAAACAGAGATAATAAATAATCAGTTGTGGAGCATCAGGCGCCTGCGCTAATGATGCGCCACAAAGAAATCAACAATCAAATGGGAATTAAAGTTCTGTAACTTCACAGAGATTGTTGTGCGATAAGAATAAGAGGGGGAGGGGATGTATGTCTACCTCCCAGAGCCACACAACCCTTCTCCGAGTGATGACGATATGACATTTGTGGATCTTTGTTTTAAAAAATATGGAATAAAACGCCAAATAGTTTCATTTTTTTAATATTGGATTTTAAATTTGTTTTATATTTATTTATTTATTTTTGTTTTGTTGTTTAAGTTTTGTAATTTATTTTCAATTTTTTTATTTGTTTTAAAACTAGTTTGTGTTTTGTCTTGTTGTTGCTTGGTTTGTTTGTTTGTTTGTCTAACTTAGTTGTTGTTGTTGCATTCATTATCGTCAACCTCTTCGTCAAAATCATCTTCCATTCTTCCATTCATTCGTTCATTACATTACACAGATTACATTTCATAAAAGTCGTCATAATCATAACTAGACTAAGATATTTATAGATTTATTTTTAATTATATATTTTGTTTTCTTAATTAATTAATTAATAATAATAATAAATTCTGTATGACTACATAGCTAAATAAGTACGTGTGTATGTATGTATGTATATGCAATTACAAGTCCAATTCGAGATTCTACTCTACTCTTCTCTTCTCCTCTTTCATCTTTCGCTATTAACAAAATCTATATAAATTAAATTAAACATAAAATTGTTGTTGCACATTCGTCTGGTGTGGTTTGTTTCTTCCTTTAAACTGTTCCGCTTTGTGTTTTTCTATTTTAATTACATTTTTGTTTTTATTGTGGAGTATGAATTCAGTAAAGACTTAAGTACAAACAATTTCAAATACTTGTTGCTGAGAACTTTCTTTTGTTTTTCGTTTTTTTTGTTTTATTTGTCGTTTTCCTTTTTTAACTACATTCGTTTGCCTGGTTTTGTCCAAAGACATTGGTCGTCGTAGCTGGTTGGTTGGTTGTGTGGTTTATTGGTCATCAGTTCCATCTTCCTCGGCTGTGAAGAATTATTTAACTAATTTTGTTTATATTTCTTTTTAGAACCAATAAAGGTCCTTTGAGGACTCTTGAACTTGGGCTTCAAGACCTGGAATTAGAATAAGAGTAGAAAACAATTAAAGAAGGTGTAAAATCTTGGCAAACAAATGTTGAAAAAAAAACTTAGGAATATAAACCAAACTTAGATTTTTATAAAGAAAAACCAATTATTTAGATTTTCGGGATTTTTTATGCCCTCACCATAGTATGGAGGGTATATTAAGTTTGTCATTCCATTTGTAACACCTCGAAATAAACATTTTAGACCAAAGTATATATATATATATTCTTGATCAGCATAAAATTCTATAGCGATTTAGCGATATCCGTTTTACTCAAATGTATATTATGTCTGCAAGACTTTTGGCATTGGAAATGGGCCATGTAGGTCCACGTTTGGTACCATATAATGGTACCTCCTTATTTTCGGTATTTTGGCGATTTAAGCGACGTTATTTAGCTGAAATGTTTCAAATTTGGTATTTAAAGTTACTGGATACTACAGTACATGACAGATTGTCTGTGCAGGTCCACGTCGTCGTATAGCCCCCATATAACGGTCCTTTCCGATATTCGGTATTTTGATGATTTTAGCTACATTATTCAAATTTGGTGTTTAATGTTCGTAATGGGAACTACAGTCTGTGACAGAAAATTATCTGTGCAGGTCCACATTTTGGTATATCCCCCATATAATAGTACCTCCTTATATTAATGATTTTAGCTACATTCTTTACCGATTTTTTTCAAGTGCACCTTCGGTTGGCCACCAGAACTCAAGCACCGGCCATGGTGATGATTGAGCTCCGGTCGTATTAATCGACCGTGGCATCAGAATAAATGCCGAATATTATCGAGAAAATATTCTGAAGGGTGTATTAAAGCCTTGGGCACGCAAACATTTTGGCACCATCGCACTCAGCACACGCCACCCAAGAATGGGTTACAAAATGAGGTTCCTCGCTTTATTTCCAGCGCACAATGGCCACCAAAATCTCCGGATACCAACCCGTTGAACTATTGTGTTTGGAGTATTTTGGAATGCAAGGTTGGCACTTAAAAAATACTAAGGTGTCGATCACCTCAAGCAAGCGCTTTGCCGGGAATGGGCCAAAATTCCGCAGAGCAACGTTCGGGCAGCGTGTAACGGTTTCATAGGCTGTTTGAAGGCCATAATGCGTGCCAAAGGTGACCATTACGAACAAATCTAATCTTATTCTAAATTTTGATGCAATTTCCGGCATTTCTTGCTTTTATTCAATAAAATTTGAAAAAAAAACATGTAAAAATTATGGCGTTTGACTTTGTTGCAGTTTTTTTTTATCTCACCCTGTATAGAGTACCACATTTAGTACTTTTTGTAGTTTATCGTATTGTAACACCCACGAATACCAATCCCTATGTAAATCTTAAATCTCAACCAATTTCTCTTGATTTTCTGATTTTTATCAGCCAAACTGTAAGTTCTTCAATATTGTGTTCGAAAATGAAAATCTGAGATTTTGTCGAAATTTCCTATTCATACAAAGCGGATAATATGTAACGATTATCGATTTTTCAATAAATGTATTGAAATAACAACTCGAAAAATCTAAAGGTCGACTTTTGTTTTCGACCACATCTCCTTAATATTCGAAATATATTCTTCAAATACCGAAAAAATATCCAGTCATTTGCATTTGGAAATTTCAAAATATTTTGAAATATTAACTGTATATAAAGTATCGATTTCTCCCTTTTTTGTCGATAATTTTCCAAAGTAAAAAAAATAAATAAATAAATGATAATAATGAATAAATAAAACTTACCAGCCATTGTAGGGTAACTAGAGTAAGCGGCAGCACTTTCCAAGGCATGTGCTGTCTGTTGATCGTGATGCAGTCTAAAAATATAAAAACGAAGAAAAAAACAACGAAGACGTTAATACAAAATTTCGAAAATGTATAATAACATCATGGTAGAATAAATAAGTTGTTTGGCCAAAATGAATATACATAACTCCATGGTACAATAAAAAGGTATGATACAGCTACCAGCTGATTAAATTTTTTTATTTAGGGTGGGCCAAAATTCTGCCAATTTTTTGTATGTATTTATTGTTTTGAAAAATTGAAAACAAAAAATTTTAAAGTCAGTGATTGCGGGACGTGCCTTGAAGATATTAACCATTTTCGCCAAGGAATCGAAAATTTATTCGTCCTTTAATCCGCATTAAAATTAAGAAAAATAATTTAAGAAAAATATAAAAAATGGTAACAGAAAGCGGACATGGCCTCAGGGTGTATTTCAGTAGTTTTACGAAGCTGTTTTACCTTTTTATTTCATATATCCATTGTATCTAATTAGAAGAGCTGGATATGCTTTTTACCTTCTTAAGTCTAGCGTGCAATAACCTATAAAATATCAACAATTATTTTCGAAATGCTTACCTTGAACTATGGCCATACTGTTGGGGCAGGCGCAGCAGACTGCCGTATTGGGCCATATTGTGGTGATAGGCATGAGCGTGGGCTGCATGGGCATGGGCGGCATGGGCATAGGTGCCATAGTGGGCTGCTGCATGAGGTACCCAGGGATCTGTGGCATAGCCACCCTCCGATGAATACAGGTCGCTCATCTAAAAAAATTAAAACACAAACGATTAAAATTGTATCATTTAGAGATTAATTTTAATTATTCTTACCTGAGGATGTGTGGTAGCTGTAACAGGATGCACATAATTGCTATTCCAAAATGAAGGTGGGAAATTTCGCGTAGACATGGGTGTTGTGGTATCTGAAAAAAAACAAGAAAACACCAAAATAAGACATTTGAGTAAGCTTCAGCTGTTTCCGAAATATAAGTGAGTCATCATCCATTTTCGAGACAATAAACGCCTGATTAAGAGCTAATGCCTTGAATCAGTTGTAGCATCGCGAAAAATGCTCAGCATCTTCATTATGGCCGTTCTGGTTTGTTGCAAAGCCCTAAATGCACAACATCAACTGCCAACAAGTTTCCATTTGATTAAAATCGCCACCCGAAATAAACACAGAGAGGCTCTCCCCACCCCTGAAATGGTGGGGACAAACACACACCATCCCACTCCTCGTTCCACAACAAAGCGAAGCGAAACATAACGAATTCATGAAAATTTGCCAACATGTGAAAAGTGTGCCTTTACTAACGAGTACTCCGGAATGTTTCTCCGTCATTGCATCTTCAAGGAGGATATAGCCAAGGAGAAGGAAATGCGAGAGAGAGGGAAATCTTTTTGCAAACTTCCATTGAAAATGGAAAGTCAAATGTGGTGCATCAATGGAATGCGTTTAAGGGCACATACAGAGTGCAGTTGTTGCTGTTGTTGTTGTACAAGAATCCCTTTTTTCCATCACCACAGTGGCGGTATCTCCAAAAACAAATGTATTCCAGACATTGTTAAGGAATCGAACACACGCACACACAGATACTCCGACCTGCTGCTGTTGCCAGCATTCAAGATTTTGACGACAACATTCCTGGCAACTTGTTTTCAATACAGTTTTCATGTGATGTTTATGCATGTTGATCTGCCTGCTCTGAACCAAACTTCATGACTTGCCTGGACCACAGCTGTATTTTGGCTTCATCATTTTACGAAACTGCTAATGGTGGGGTGCTGCCAGCCAGCCAGCCAGCCAGTCAACCATCCATCCATCCTTTTGTCATTTTTCGCAATTGCAGAAGCTCAAGTTTGAATGAATGCGCGTCACCAGCCATAAACTCCAATTGTCGTCGTGGTCGTAGTAGTACTGTAATGTAAAACGTTTTCTTGCCCCCCTCTCTTCTGCCTCGGCTTTGTGAAACTCTGATGCGTCTTTGATGCTGCTTTGCTTTTAAACCGAAAATAAACCGCCTCGATTTGGGACAGTCATTAAAGTGAGGCATTTTAAGCAAGAAAGGATATACGTGCTGGTATGATGAGGACATGAGCGAACAAATGAAATGACGGATGGTGATAAATGCAGAGCAGCAGAAGGATTTGAGGAGCCTAGAGCCGGTTTGCAAAGTTATTTGATTTTAGAGTTTTTTGGGAGAGTTTACTTTTATTTTAAAATAAAAATAATAAAAGTGTATTTAAGATTAATGAAGGATTTTTGGAGGGAATGAGTAAGACAGGGTCATGGAGGAAAATCAAACAAAAAAATTATTGAAATTAGCAGTTCCTTGAAAATAGTACCTCAAATAGTTACAATTACACTCTAAAATTGTCTAGATCATAGTCTGAAAGTGCCATGGGGTATCCATTTGGAAACATTCGCAGCGGGGGCAGACAACAAAAAATTAGATTTTCGAGTAAAATGAAAGTATTTTCGAGGTTTGAAAGTTTGGATCACTTAGTATATAGTTTCAAGTATATAGTGTCGATGGCAATATTACAGATAGCAATACGAGGATTATTTTGGTCGAAAATGCACAATATCAAGCGATTCACCAAAGTGCTCTTTTTGGTCCTTTTTACCAAATATTGTTGAAAACTGCATTTAAGCGGGATAGTAGGAACTCAAAATATTCTACAAATCAATTTAGCATGAAGTTCTACTATGGGTCTTAAAATACATCAGAACTCCTAATCATACCTAAAGGTCAGGAATTCAAAAATATTGAAACACATTATAGTGTTAAAGCCGTTTATGCAAATTTCGTCCACAAAACATCATTTTAGAAAGATAATATCAAGGACAAAAATATTCTTTATAAAATTTAAGTCAAAAAGACAATAAATCTTTATTTCCATTACATATCAAGAAAATAATAGTTTAATTTTTCCAAAAAAAAAAAACGGAAAATATTTTCTACATTTTCCTTGGATTTTTTTTTTGACTCTTTATTTTGAGTTGGTGCATGAAAGTAACATAAAATTTCGTTTTGGGCTGAAAGTGTCAAAGGAAGAAATATTCTACACAAAATTTTAACATGAATCGTAGAATAAACCATATATATAGGTTTTATAGTTTTCAAGAAAATTACATTCGAAATGTATATATTACAAATGAAAAATGTTTGTTTACGTTTTTTGCTGCTAATTTTAGAGCAGAGCTTCATATGGATTTATGCAAAATCTCCTACAAAACATCATTTTAGAAGGATAACGTCAAAGACAAAAATATTCCTTATCAAATTTCACTATAAGTCACTGAAGAAAAGAAATCTCAATTTCGGTTACCATATCAAGAAATTTTTTATTGCATTTTGCCAAAAAAAAAATCGAAAATATTTCCTTTTGTTCCATGGATTTATCTGTGGATGCTTGAAAATAGCATAAAACTATCATTTAGGCAAAAAGTTTCAAAAGAGGACATAATCTACACAAAATTTCACTGTAAATATCAGGATAAACCATATATCTAAATATAATGTTTTTTAAGAAAATTACATTCGAAGCTTTTATGTTACATGTAAAAATAATGTGTTGACGTTTTTACTGCCATTTCAACATGTTTCCATTCTAGGCTTAAAACTTTCTTAAAACGTCATTTTCTGGGGAAGGTGTCAAAGGAAGAAAGATTTTAGATCGAATTTTATTGTGAGTCTCTGAACAAATGAAAGCTGAATACTTAAGACGTAGCACAAAAAATATATCATCAATTTTTATTTTCGACAATATTAGCACATATTCCGAATTCGCCGCAAATTGTCTTTAAATGACACTGAATAACAAACAATCTGGGTTTAGTTTCGGGGTCTCATGTGAACATTTTTTAAGGCTTTTATGTAGCACTGGCCATATACAAAGAGACCCCAAATTTTTGACATATATTTTGCAACATTTAATATAGAATTTGAATTTTGGATTTCTTTATAAATCATGGATTAGACCAATAGGTCATATTGGTCCACTTTTTGGCATAGTACCATTATATAAAGGTTTAAAGCCGATTTCAAGTAGTTTTTAACGTTTCAGTCATATTTTCCATTTCATATCGCCAAATTTAGGTATTTCGATTTTTTTTTTTTTTTTTGTAGAAACCATATTTGTCAAAAATGAAGTCCACGTTTTGGTATTACCTTTATAAAAAAAATACTCCATGATTTTGAGATATTTCAAGATCTTGGCTATATTTTCCATATAGAGAGACTGGTCTACGTCCTATGAAAAAATGCCACAAATTTCAAGCAAAATCGAGAAGAAAGCATGGCCAAAACCCTCGAAATAATAGAAATCACGAATGTATTTAAATATGACCTGGACCAAAACGTGAGTCAATATTGACAATTTTCTTTAACATAAAATAAAAAATACCAAAGATATATCTTCACACGATTACCTGATTTAATTACACTTAAAACTCAATTTTCATTTGAATTCGGAACTTGGAAGTCACCTCTTTAAAATAACCATCCAATGTATGGCATCTCATACTCGAACCCATCTGACTCTCTTTCTTTCTCTTTCCTTATCGAGATAAAAGATGTCATTCCACATTATCATTTCATCTTTGAAATTGTCAACCTTTTTGGTCAAATTATTATGTGTAACAGTTAAATGAGTTGTAAGATAAGATGAGATAAGATAATTAAAAACCAATACCACCAACGATGAATTTCAACTCTCGTTTTTCGTTTGGCCGACAAACTCATTTGCCTTCTCTGGATGCGTTCCTCCGGCTGATTTTTATCTCTAATTACACTGACCTTTTGTCACCAAAAATAAACGAATAGCAGGTAACTTAACGACTGCCACACCACAAAAAAACTATTAAGACATCAATGATTCGGGACAAGACCAGCCATTGGCACCACCAACGCTACTCTGTTGCATCCTGCCGCCTTGTCGGAGGGCATCTTCAAACATGTTGTTTTGTGGTGGTAATTGATGCTAAGAGGCCATGATTACAGGGAGCGACTGATTTGACTACTGGTGTTTGGTGTGTAACGTCTATCGACGCGATATCAACGAAGGTGCACAGCTAGCTACTGTTTGGTGGAACTAATGCAGAGTGGAATACGAATTGCAGCGACAAGTTGCCAAACAACAAAACCAAAAGTTTTAAATGTTTTCTCTCCCTCTCTCTCACTTTCCTTACGACTCTATCTCCTAGACACAGGGTTCATTGAGAAAAGGACTCTGCCTAGTAGGGCTCACGTTTTGTGTATTTTGCACTGTTCGACTTGTAAATCATGTTAACTGTGTGTGCGTGACACCAAAATAACTGTGAGTTCATGTGTGTGTGAATGTGTGGCTCATTGTTTCATTTCGGCTAAGGTAAAATGGTGGTGTGTTTTAAAGAAAATACCCAGTAAACAATTTTTGCCGAATTCGGTCCGATTTCTGTCAGAATCTCTGAAAAAATGTCCGATTCTGATTCCGAATTCCTTCCGATTTCGGTACGAAAGTTGTATGGACGTGGTCACCGAATTCGGAAAGATTTTCTGAAAAAAATCTGAAAAAATATTAGATTTTCTGGACGAATTCGGTCCGAATTCGGTGAAAATTCTTGAAAAAATAGGAGAAAAAATTAGATTTTCGGAAAAGATTCGGAGGACAACTCCGAATTTCTGAAAGAAATCGGGCAGAATTCGTCTGGAAATTCGGCGGAATATTCAGATTTTCTGAAAGAAATCGGTCAGAATTCGAAAGAAAATTCGGAATAAAATTCAGATTTTCTGAAAGAAATCGTTCAGAATTCGGAAGAAATATCGAAAAAATCGTCACACCACTTAAAAATGAAAAAAACAAAAAAAACACATATTTATTTAAAAAACAAACAATTTATTTCGGGTTTCGTAAAAATGTAGTTTAAATATTACATCTA